TCCTGCAACAAAAATCTACTTTCAAAATCATCAGTGTAAATTAACAAATACTAAGCCGTGGGCACATACCTCTCCAGCCCCTTTTGAAGCTTCACTAAACATTCTGGGCGCACATACCTGTACCTGATCCTTGGGCCTGCCATCAATCATTCCCGTACAAACTGCGTCCTGCTATTTTCCAACACGTTAAAAAATAGTGTACATCAGAAAATCGACAGTGTACAACCAATAGTACCTGGTTTAGCGAAATTTCAACTTGATCCTCAGCTGCAACTCTCGATAAATCCTACACCAGATTTAGCACTATCAAAAACAAGGTCGTGTACATGTCCACAGAGTGTCAGGTACATGTCCACATGGACACCACCAAAGTGTCCAACCAATAGTACCTGGTTTAGCGAATTTTCAGCTTGATCCTCAGCTGCAACTCTCGATACACAAATTTAACACTGTCAAAAACAAGGTCGTGTACGTATCCACATAGTGTCAGGTACATGTCCACATGGACACCAGCAAATTGTACAAGCATTAGTACCTGATCTTCTGGATTTCCAACTGGTTTCTCAACAGCAACAACTGCAATTCTTGACAAATCCTGCAACAAAAATCTACTTTCACAAACAGCAGTGTAAATTAACAAATACTAAGCCTCGGGCACATACCTCTCCAGCCCCTTCTGAAGCCCCGGTTTCCTTCCCGTTTTCAGAATCACAACCACTAACCTACAAGACCAAACCTCCACACGTTTAATATTGTACATCAACTACCCTAACAAAAAACCGGCTTCGTGCAAAGGTGGAAATCATCAAAAGTAACCACAAAAAATAAACCTGATTACAAACAACCCCTTCCGCATCTCCCCCCACCAAAAATCCCCCCCCCCCTTTCGAGACTTGCGTCGATAGTGAAAGTGGCATTAATCCTACAACTTCGTCCAATTTCGTCCTTTCACCACTGCTCTCCTTAGCCTGGGCAAACAAGCTTCAGTTAAAACACAAAGGGAAAAAAACACAAAAACGTCAGGATAGCTATAAATTTAAGACGCGTACCCGTGATTCAGATGTAATGGAAAACTCCCCAACCAATACATCCAACCTCTCAACCTCCTGCACAGATATTGAAACCAAGTTTGTTAACCTAACGAATTACCAATACTACCCAACACACTATAATTAAACGCTCACCCCGCAGGTTAAACCTTCGTCTCGACTGCCACTACATGTATCCTCGCCATTAATGCTCCCCTGGCAATCAACGTAAGTCAGTGGGTTAACATTTTCTCTCACACCCAATACACTGCCCCCCATCAGGACCTACCTCACTCTTCGTCACAAAATAGGTATTGCTCGTCGTTCCGTCATACAATACCTGTCCGTCTGCAAGGGGTCTACCACCCTCTACCCATTGCAAAGGAATGCCTCACCTTCTTTCAGCCTAACCAACAACCCGGGTGCCTCGTCCGACGAGAAACTATCCCCAGCTCCACTGTTCTCAACAACCATGTCTTCTAACCTATCTGCCGTTGACCCCCCACCATTCCCATCAATCCCATCCAGAGCCAAAGCTGGTGTACCACCACCCCCCCCTCCTAATATTGTCCACCAATATCTCCTAATCCATCATAATCTACAGCCTTCTTAGCATTTGATCCTCTTACTTTTTTTCCTCAGCCTATCACGACTAATGCCACATAATTTACCACCGCCGAGCTTCCTGTGCCCAGCCCGCCCAACCAGTTTTTTCACCGTCTTATTCAGACACGCAACCTCCCTTTTCAACACTTCAACATCAGTTGTCAGCCGAGAGACTATATCATCTTCATTACTATCCGCACGGGCATAATACTGACTTAGCCGTCCCTGCTTCATGGTCAGCCCTACCCCTTCAGCTTCTAAATCATCAACACACTCGGCGTGGGTTCGCTTTTTCTTGTTAACACTACCATGGACATAAATGTCCACACGCATGTCACCACCACCCCACTCAGCCTTACGAAATTCCTTTCCTTCTTTCAACTTAGTAACCATGTATTCAACTCGATCATCCATTCTCTCGTCGTCAAAAGGTACCCAAACATTTCCATCCACAGTATCCACCTCAAGCATGGGACGCACAATGAGCTGTTAAATCAGAAAACAAAAAAAAGACAAAATCAAAAAACGATAAAGAAATAACCGACCAATTTCGTGAAGTACAGCACATATTCTCGTTCACATGTACAACACGGATATCGTCCACGTTATTTAACGGTTGCGTGGACATAGAAAACATTCAGCGTACATGCGTACAACAAGGTTTAATGTACATGTGTACACCCACAACAATACTTGGCTGTGTACATTAGATATTGTGGAAGGTTGGCGAGAATTAGTTACCTCGGGGTCATGCTCAGCGTTGCGGATGTCGATTATGTTCAGTTCAGCGTGCTGTGTTAGAACGGACTTCTTGTAGTCCTTCAGCTTCACAGTGTTGTCGCCCCCTAAACGTCCTAATAACCCCGGAATACACTCGTAAGCTACTAGCTGTAATGCCAGAGGGAAACCCACCATTATCGTTGTCTCCTGCATCATTCCCTCTCGGAACACACCCAGTGGATCTTCAACCTTATCAAGAACCCTAGGCCCCGGCTTCATTAAGGTTATAGTCCACAGAGATGATTCCCTGCCCCACGGGAAAGCAAAGAACTGACTCAAATTCTCCACAAGCTTAACATATTTCAGCGTGGGTCTAGGTTACTGCGACGTCGCCACTAAAACCCCATCAACAATTATTATGAGGCAGAGCCTAAGCCTACGCCAACCAGGCATTTCTAAATCACACGCCACTGTATTAACAATATAGTTAATCGTCAGATTCCTGTTCTCTCCAATCAACTCCCCCCAATACTCGTAGTACTTCTCTGTCGGCTTGGGTTGGTACAAGTGGGTGTATCCATCTTCGAACTCGCAACAAGGGAGCCCTGTCACTGCAGAAAACTCCACCATCGAAAACCTAAATGGAATCCCTCCAAAAACCGGCCAAATCTCAAACTTTTTCTTCGTCACCACCTGCCTAACAATCATTGCATGCCCAAGCTTCCCGGACATTGAACATCTGCGTGCTGGTAGATCTAGAAGTTTCCCAAAAAATGACCCAAGCAATATATCCCACTCTTCAAAACCTTCCAACACATCCCTCACAAACAAAAGCAGATCAACCGTCGAGTAGCAGTTTAACCTACGGTCGGGGAAACGATCTGTGGCGAAGAGACATCTAGAGAGCATCTCGTTCACTTCACTGCTATCTCCCCCTGAATCCATAAAAAAAATATATATCAATTTTGCATTTCTTCATGCTATCACAGATGCAGAACTTCAGAACACCATAGCTTACCTCCCGCGATTTCTTTGCCAGACCTTCTACGACGGCGAGACATCTTCCAGATCCGACTGCGTCTTAATATCGCGAAATCACCTTTTCTTTCCAAAATCTCTGTCTTCCTCACCTCTCCGTTTTTTTTTCTTTCCTTTCAATGCTCTGCAAAAAGTAACACTAAAAGTCTCCCAAATCAATGAAAGAGTTGGGGGAAACTGAAAAGCAGTTTAATTGGGTTAATTAACTGTCTCGGGTACGCAACCAGAAATTTTGAAATTTAAAACACAAAAAAAAAGATAACTAAACCTAACAACAAGGATACCGACATTTGTCTACTGGTTACGCTTTATAGGAGAATAATTTTAGTCATTTCACACAAAAACTGCCTCTATAATGGAAACGGCCTTAACATAACACGAAAACTCAAAATCTGCCCCAATGTGAAAATAACTCTAGTTAATACATCTTGCGAAACGCGCTGGTCCCTATCTTCCTAGTTATACCTTTAAGTATCCGTCAAGATAGTGACCAGTATTAAAATGGGCTTCATGGAGGCCCAATAGAAAATTATGTCCTCTCTCTTGCTTGATCACTCGTCGATAGACTTTAGGAATTGTTGTTGACGAAGAAGACGTGAAATTCTTCTTCAGTTACATCGTTTTTCAGATTCTGAGCTCGAGTTCTTCGTTGAACAATATAACGGATAGAACTGTGTATTCAAAATCTAAGCTAAGTTAGGCTGATGATATTTCCGAAGCAAATCTCCGACGATCGAGGATCTCCACATTTTGGGTAAAGGTGTTTCTCATTCGATTTTGTAGAGATGAAATCTTGAAACGAAGTTTTGCATTGCTACAATGGAAATGATTTCAAATTGCGATGAGTTTTTAGCTAACTACGTGTTTAGTTAAGTTCTATGGTATCTAGTTAATAGAGTCGCTGTCCCATAAGAAACTCCCTGTCCGAAGAAGTTCAAGATTGCAAGTTGATTAGTTTCTAATTTTTTATGCTATGGTCATTGCAAGTAGCGTACAGAAAAGTCTTTCATAAGTTATGGGCAACCTGATCAACGTAGTATATTATAGATTTTTCCTGATCTTGTTCTTCACAATGGAATTACCTCACTAAGTCCTTATTACACATAAAAATTTCGTAAATACAATTTATAGTCAAGAAATTTACAAAGCTCGTAGGATTAAAAGTACTAACTGTACTCAGCTCAGCTTCCTTTGGACTTTCTCTCTCAGTTCTAATCTAATGAAACCACCATTAGGGATACTACCCGACTTAATCACGGAGTTAAAGGAACACTTTTTTGGTACTAATAAACAAGAATCTCACTAAACCGTTTGAACTCATGCTTTTGTGCCTCTCTTTGTTTGCAGGCATACACCTTTCCAGATAATCCATGCCATTGGGAACTTTTTAATGATATGGTCGGTTTATTCTATGTATCGCTACTTGAATCAGATTGGAGCCCCCGTTGTTCTCTTTCTCTTCTGCTGTCTCGTTCCATCATCCATCATCTTCTTGATACTTCATCAACCATGGAAAGGAAGGACACTTTCAAATCAACAGATTTGATTTGTTACACATAAAATGAGAGAGTTTGACTAACACATTTCCTCTGCTAATTTCTTAAAAAAATGTGTTTCTTTCAGATTGTACCTTCCCTTATCAATGGAGTCATCACAGCTATGTACTTCATCTTGTGGGGAAAAGGTCTTAAGTCTTGTGGGCCGCTTAGGTATTCATGAGATTCTCTTCTATCTTTCTCGTACGTTACTCTCTAGGACATATCCTAGATTTTGGCTTCTGAAAGGTAGGATAGGTGAGCTCCTTTGGAAAAATGGTTCTCCTTGGTGATTCTCTTTGTATATTATTTGCAGAGCTATCTTGTCAGAGTACTCTGGTGCTGTTCATGGAGTACTTTCTGGAGTATTATATGGACGAAGAGGCCATGTCTGGAAAAAGGTAATCATTTGTAGTTAATGTACCAGTTAGCTAGCATTATTATGTTATTTATTCACTTGGCATGCATCAGCTCACTTATCTCGCTGACAAATTATAGAGCTTAACTTGTGGAATAGTTTGAACTTTTTAGCATTTTATGATGTTTCCTCTGGCTAATCCACGTGCTATGTAAACGACTAGGACAAACAAATTCTCATATCTCACAAATCGTGTCAGGTAGGTGGCCTTATTGCAATGCTGGTAGCTCTATTTTTCTTGTCTCAAGGATGGGCGACATCATCCCTCTCCCCGTTGTATATCCTTTTATGCAAGCTCCATCTCTTATACCCATATAGTTCTCTCTCTCTCTCTCTCCCGCCTTGTTTTAATTTTAGCTGTCTATGGGTAGTTTACACGTTGGTTTGTTTAACTTAACAACAAACTACCCTCAAAAGATATTACTGACATCAAAGAGGAAGATGTACTAACAGCAGAAGCGCTAGGGCTGCTGGGAATGATGATACCAGTTTTTGCTGGAATCTTATCTGCATTAAGGCTAGTTATTGCGCGGCGTGTTTCCCTTAAGGTACTACTCTCGTATTCTATCTGTTACGCCAGTCCTTTTTCCACATATTTTGGACCAACCACTTCTGTGTTTTCACAAAACCAGCAGAAGAAACGATTTCATGCGATAACCATTACTTCTGCAACATGTTTCTTGTTTCCTTTGGCCATGTGGGACCTTTTCATAGTAAGTGATGCTACTTGTTTTGCAATGAGAAGGACTAAGCGCTAATGTAGCCAATGCCTGTTTAGGTCACTAATATCACAATTTTACTTCAGGGGTCGTCTTCAGGGAAAGCTGTCCAGTTGCCATTTTCGGCGTGGGCTTTCCTTAGCGCCATTTTTTTCGGGATCATTCTAATATTCTATGTTGACAACATCGCTGAAGAGAGGTTTCCTTAAATCTTTACCCCTTCTACAACACCTTTACATTTCATGTACGCAGACAATACCTGCTTCATTTGCATTACATGTTCGTCTTTGCAGATTGCATATGGTGTTTTCTTCCCCAAGGCATTTAATGATAGCAGGAGCATGTATAATAGTCATGGAGATTGCTTACGAGATGGACTTTTCTCTTCCTGGTTTCATTGTCTGCTGCTTAGTGTTAGGGTTTGGAATATTCGAAGCAACATCTCTAGAACGCAGCAAGAAAGACTCTTCCATAAAATCAGAAGATCAGTCAAACGGAATCCTTGGTGATGGCTTTGATACTTCTCCAATTCTTCCAATATAATTTAGCTACCACTCCTCACTATACTCTTGAAATGTTCTTGTCCTTGACGATGTAAATATTTATCTGTTGTTTACTCGTTCTCAGTCTTTGTACCTTCATCTTTCGTTTTCCCTGGTGAAGCATATACGATTTTTGTTTTGGAGCAGACAGCAAAACGCTCATGACGATTATTATTTTAATACTAACTACGTGAGTCAGCCCTGGCTGGGATATAGGGCTGTTAATGTGAAGTAAAACTATCCAGTCCAACCCAACCCACACAATACCCAAGCCTTTTTTAACCCAACCAACAAAATATCCAAAAATATTAAACTAGTATTTTTTGTAAAGTCAAGATTGAGATGGTATAGATAATCTGACTATAATAGAATAAACAACGAAACAAGCAATGTTATGAAAAGAATGAACAGATCTAGCTAAGAAATCTGCAGTTCTATTTTAATCTCGAAAAACATAGCATATCTTAAAATTTTGAAATACTCTCTTCAATGCTTGTATTTCCTCCAACTTTGTCAAGATGTTTGACCATACCTGGCGATCCCCTAATATTGCTATCAAATCTTTGCACTCTGTCCCGAAATGTTGACATAACAAGTTTTACATTGCCTATCGTAGCGCTTTTAGCTCCATATGCAGTGAGGATCTCTTCATCTTTGGTTTCTCATGCCCATCAGTTGTGTATGTCTTGTGTTGGCTAGCCACATCCATCCACACCCACTAAAGGGAGAGATGGAGGTCCAAGAACCATCCACCAAACATATGTTCTAAAAGGTTAAGACTTGAGCTGATGGTCGTGATTTGGGTCAAGATCGGACCGGGTTCTTTTTACATGAACCATGCGTTTCATTCTCCTTCTGCATATCGTATCAGTTGAAGCAGATCTCGATCATTTCCTCTAAACAACTTGTCACTACGTACTTTCTAGAGATACCAAACTATCCATATATAAGGATCTCAGTCCATTTCTAGACCCTCAGTACTATTTTCACCAGAACAAATAATCCATGTTAGTGTAGATGCTAGACAAAAGGAAAATATCTGGGTGGAACAGTGTAGCTGCCATTACCCATGCCTGATTGACCAGGTTCCCCACATCCCGGATAAACGGCGTCACATTGCATATGGAGACGATTTAAATTTCTTGTGACAGTGACATGTCATGTAATCAGCTGCCATATAAAACAATGTATATATATTGTGGAGCATTTCTCTTCATAGCAAAGGCTTGCAATTTCGTAATCCTTGGTTCTGAGTATAATTCTAGCTGGCTAATATCACGATTTAAGTCTAATAAGACAACTTAGTATAACTTCAGCAATAAGAATCACGATGTAATGATCGGCTAATGGTCATGTTTCTGATCAAAGGTATATCTTCTCATGCAAAAAGTTCTCCTGCAAACTAACATGCCATTCTTACAACATTAGATTAGTAATTTACACCCACATTATCGAATATGAGTTTGACCTATGGGTACTTAAATTACTATTTTTATGTTTGAGAGAATTTCATGTGGTAATTTTAATGGTTACAAAAATTAGAAATTCTTTTTTATTTATTTACTTTTAATTCTTTGTTTAATGGAGAACAAGATTTTATAGTTTGGGTGAGATAACAAGATTTTGTAGTTTTTTTTTTTGGGGGGGGGGGGAGCGGAAACAAGATTCTTTAGGTTTTGCAGGAAACTAGTTTTCCAATTTTACGGAAAATTTCATTTTTGTGAATTTTTGCGGGAAAACTCAGTTTTTGGTTTTGGTGGGAAAATTCATTTTTTTTGGGTTTGGTGGGAAAATTCATTTCTCTGGGTTTTGAAGGGGAAACCGTTTTTCTGATTTTGACGGAAAATTGTGTTTAGCGGTTTTGGGTGGAAAAATTTATTTCTGGCAAGAAAACTTGTTTTCCATTTTTTTAGTGGAATGTTCTTTTATGAGATTTTTTTGCGAGAAGACACATTTTTCTAGTTGTGACAGGAAAAGTCATTATCCGGTTTTCGCAAGAAAACTCGTTTTGCGGCTTTAGGAGAAGCTTGTTGTTGCAAGAAAAATCATTTTCTGAGTTTCACGGGAAAGTTTTTTCTGGAGGAAAAAACTTGTTTTTGCGGTTTTGGCAAAATAATTTGTTTTTAACCTTTTCCGAGAACTGTTATCTGGTTTTTTTTTGAAAAACTAGTTTTTCCGGTTTTGGTGGGAAAGCATGTTTTCCAGTTTTGTCCGGAAAACTCTTTTTCCGATTTTATTGGAAAAATTCATTTTGCGGTTTTTGTGAGAAACTTTTTTTTGTGGGGAAATTCATTTTTCCGGATTGGTGGAAAAACACTTTTTGTCGTTTGGCGGGAAAGCTCATTTTAGTAGAAATACTCATTTTCATGTTTTTGCGGGTAAACGTGTTTTGTGGTTTTTGCACGAAAACTTGTTTTTTGTGGAAACCCCTAGTTTTCAGTTTTGAGGGATAAATTCATTTGAAAATATTACATCTAGAGGCAGTTTTATATTTTTATTAGCATGATAGGAAAGTTTCTTCCACCAACACACTTTTTTCCTAGCAGCTTCATATATGCCATACAATCTAGTTACATTAAAACTAAACAGCTGTGTAACTAAACCAACATTTAAGCGGGGATAAACACACACCACACATCTTTTTTCCAATAAACAGTCTAGATTAAATCTGACATTTTTGACAAGACTGATATCTGTTTCTCTCCTCAGTTTTTAGATTTATTTTCTATTTTTATTTCAATGGCCCAGATTAAATTATGCTGTAAAATCCTTTTCATCTTTGATATTCATCTTTTTGTTTGTTTGGATTTCTGCAAATCAAACATTAATTATCTTCTACCTTCATCTCCATCGTATTATTGGTGATAATACCTTGGTATGTTCTTCCATCACCTAACATCACACCAAAGCATCAATTTGTTTATCATTTTCTAGACTAATGGAATCAAACTACAATCTGCTGGGGTTTTTCTGAATCTAACAAGAACTCATCACAATCTACTCAATGATACTCAACCCAGCAAGAAGGCTCAGCTTGAACTCAATTACCCTCTGAATCAGCGTCACTTCTACAAGAACATGGCCACCAAAATATACACAATGATACTGAACCCAACAAGTCTCTAATGTGTGTACATCTATCAAACAAAACTTTAGTCTAAAACGTGTGTACATCTAGTGTACATGTGATTTCTTATAAAATTCATAACTTGTGTGGTGTACAAAAGAACTAGTGTACATGTGATTTTATATAAAACATTGTACATGTGGACATGTGATTTTTATAAAAGAACTAGTGAACATGTGAAGTAGTGTACATGTGATTTTATAAATAGTGTACATGTGCTTTTTTATAGAATCATCAGATATCATAACTTTCTTTGTAGATGGATTTGTGGGCGTCGATGCTTTTCAGCCACCAAAAAAATCAGAGTGGACAAAAGATACATTTTTCTTCTTGTAGAAACAATATATAACGTTCATGTCTTATTACAAGTTAATTTGTGTACATGTGAGTCATTTTACATGTGGGTAATAAAAAATTGTGTTCGTGTTATAGTGTACACATCAAATGGCTTCAAAATAAACATTTTGTATAATGTATGTTGTATAGTGTACACATCAAAAGGCTTCAAACTAAAAATTTTAAAATTGCATTTTCATACTAATCTTCAAAAAATAGGGATTATATTGCACAATTAAAAGTATGGACCCAAATTGAAAAGCATCTATGCAAATTTATAAATTTTGGAGTCAAATTGTAAATAGTTAAAAGCTAAAAGAACAGCCGTGCAAATATGATAAATTTGTTTTGGGAAAGGATTCCTTCGAGGTTTGACAGATCGGATCGTCTCCCGATTTGTTTCGTCGACGGTTGGTGAGGAGGAGAGGTCACTGAAGAAAGCACGATAGCTTGACGAGCCTCCGAAATGAAGACGCTGAAGAAGACGAGAAGCGATGGCACTGAGAGTAACCACCCTGTGATAACGGATTGCAGATTCAGAGGGAAGTAAGAACTCGTAAATAGAGTTTAAGACTTGAGCCAGTGGCGGTGTTTGTCTTAAACTGAAAGTTATGGTGGAGAAAAGAAGATGAAGGTCGAAGTGGAGAAGAAAAAGAAAAAGAAGGTCAAGTTTAATTATCTTTCGGGTCCATTAATGAACTCTTTTTAAATTTCAAAAATCAATCATTTCTAATTAATTAGCACGTACTGGTTACTTTTTTAGAGGGTAAATTAAGTCTTTTCACCCAAAAACTACCTTTGTAGCATAAACTATCTTATGATGTAATAAAAACTCATAAACTGTCTTGTGGTGTAAAAACTCAACTGTAGTTTGGCGGAAAAACACGAATTTATGGTTTCATTTAAAATTTTGATAAAAATATTTGGGTGATATTGAGAGAAAATGATAAGTATTTAATTGATTAAAAATAGAGAAAAACATAATTTTATATAGACCTCCCTTTTATATAATTGAAAATCCATAGGTACACCAATACTCCTTCGTATTTATCCATTATAAAAACTAGAGATTTTGACCGCGCGTAATTATGTATTCTTTTTATTAGATATTTCAAATTTGTTCGTTTGTCATATTTTACTACGGAATGTGGATTATTTTGTTACACGGATTATTATATGCATTTTATTGGTTTTATACTTGTCAAATTTTTTCTTTGTTATGACTATATGACTAATATTTATATAACATGTTATCGAGATATCAGTTCAAATTTAGTATTCAAGTAAGTGTATTTTTTATTATATTAAATTTTATACAAAAAGTTGAAATATTTTCAGCATACAATAACTAAAAAGATTCACAATTTAAGATTGTCCGGAGTTATGTCCGATTGTTTTCATATATCTTAATAAAACTATATTTTTATCATTTTAATATATATATATATATATATATTCTATATATATTTGAACAACTATAAGAATATAATAAATCACATGAATTTTAAAAAATGATATCAAATAATATATTTGGGATG